ATGGGTTTTTACAAACCTGGGAAGTGGGCTTTGTAAGATGCTAAGATCGTTGAAAAGACAGGAACTAACCAAGTCTTGTTAGGAAGAAAGAATATTACGGCTTTGATTTTGCGGGGTGGGGGGTAGGGTGGGGTTGAGACTTCTTTTTGATTTCAGGAAATGTTTAAGTTCCACCTGACTGGTCAATTTTCCAGTTTTTTATGTTGGCTTTGATTTGGCGGGGTGGGGGGTGGGGTGGGGTTGAGACTTCTTTTTGATTTTAGGAAATGTTTAAGTTCCACCTGACTGGTCAATTTTCCAGTTTTTTATGTGAATTTTTTTAAATGTTCACTTGAAATAAGTTCTTTTTGAAAATATATTTGTTGAGAATTTCATACGTGCATAATGTATTTTGATCATATTTACCCTCTATTATGGCCACCATCCCCCTCCTGCTCCTGGTGAGCCCCTGCTTCTCCCCAACAAGCTCCCTCCCTGTTTCGAATCTATTTTGTACCCAGTGAGTTTAATGAGGTAGAGTTCTGGCATGAGTATGGGTGGGTGGCTGTTTGCTGAAACATGAGGAATTTATCCTTGGCTACATCAATGTATGTGTGAAAGATTCTGAATGAAGGAAAACTTTATACGGGGATGTGGAGAAATCATATTGAACTCTGATTTGGCTTGGTATTAGCACAGTTAGTATACTGTGTTTATCTCCCTTGTGAACATTTGCATAGTTGTTGAATGGTCTGTAAACTTGTGTGGGGAGGGGGCAGACCTGGCCTTGTCATGTTCACGGACATATTCTCAGCATATGATATAAGCTTGTCTCAGGTATCTGGTGTATGAATGGATGTACTGTTTAGTTGTGTAGGTGTATGTTTGAGGGTGGTGTGTTTCTCTGAAATGTAGACTAATAAAATAAGACAAAATGCTTAGCACAGTGTAGCCACTCACTTGTCAGATCTCAGCAAAAATGGCACATTCTAAAGAGACCCTCCAAAATAGCCTTTCTTCTCTCCTGTTACCTAATTTCCTTTACATGTAACAACACGTTTATTTGTTACTTCATTTACATGTGCCAGTCCATGCCAGTAGGGAAGACCTTGTCTCTTTCAACCCCCAATACATTGTCTATAGTTGCTACATTTCAAACTTTCAGTCAGTATTTATTGAGTAAATAAATGAACCGTACTAGCCTACAAAGATTGTGTCTGAACCAGACCAAATTCTTGTCCTTTGTTTCAATTGGACCAGGAAATGTTTATTATACTTCTTAACTATTTTAAAATAACATTTGTATTGGGAGAAAGAATCAGCATATTCCTTTTGAATATACGGTTTCGTTTTTCATTTAAATTGCAAAATAATAGGAACAACTTAGGTGATCATCAGTTGGGAACTAGCAGCTGCTCAATACAATGCAATTCAGCTTTTTTTTTTTAAGACTGAATAAAGAACTCTATGTACTGATATGAAGAGGCCTCTAAAACCACATAAGTGCAAATGGATTGGGTGGGTGGAATGGTGAGAACTTAGGCTACCTGTTGTGTATGGCTGGCGGAGAAGTGAGAGTCTGCAATCAAATTTGAGATGCCAAGAAGCACAGTGTCTCCTGGGAGGTAGAACTGGGATTAAATACAAAACCTTCAAGACAAGAAGGGAACTTTTTCAATTGTATCTTTTATGGCTCTTGTGCCACTTGAAGATATTATACAAAAAGTAAAAAAACAAGATGAGTTTGCGTCTAAGAACTTAGAATGCCTCCATTAGTTGAAACTTTCAGTCTTCAGCACTGGAGGGGTTGTGGGGTGGTCAAAGTTGAAAGAACGTGATCCTAATTCTGTTGAGAAACTGGAGTACAGCCAAGAGGGCAGGTAATCACTTGCCAGCACCAGCAGAGCCCAGCAGCTGTCTTGCTACCTGGCCCTGATGTCAAACAGAATGATGTTTGAGATCTTGAGGTCTTAGCCCTGGGGAACCAGCCTCAGAGTGACTCTGTTCTAAGGAGAAGGCTGTTCTTTCCGTCTCAAATTTCTACCATTGTTTTTCTTCACAACTATTAGGTCAGAGGATGTTCTGGGCAGGGTTTTCCCAACCCTAAATCTGTAGAAAAGTCTTACCTTGGGAAATTTCCTCCTCAATTTTCCTGTATTTTAATGCTTTATGTGAATTCAGTTCTGAGCTATTAACCAGACAGATTGTCAGCATATTGTGCAATAACAGAAAGGTTCTGACCAGTGCATGGTGACCCAAGCCACACTTGCCTATCCTTGAAATACAACTGCTGTAACCAATGAACTAATTTTTCTCTTGTTTTACTTCCTCGTCTTTTTTTTTTTTTTTTCGTTTTGTGTTTTGAGAATTTCATACAATGTGTTTTGATTACTTTTACCATCCTTTTTGTGTTTTGAGAATTTCATACAATGTGTTTTGATTACTTTTACCATCAGAAGCCTCTCCTCCCAGATCTACCAAGAAACTGTTTTCTGGACACAGCAGAACAGGTACACATAAGAACTCACAGCGATTTGTAACAGCATGCACAAGATCAGCTCAAGCTCAAAAATAATTGTATTTATATTAAAATAAACTGCCTCATGTAGATGATGCAGGGAGTCACATATCTCTGGTTAAAGCAGTAGAGGCACCTCTTAGGTCAACTATAACCCTGAAGTTAAAACTTCTCCCTTCTGAAAAAAGACATTTATTCAGTCAACAAATATTTCCTTTATTTTTTATTTTCATATATACTTTTGGAAACATGATCTCACTGTATAAACCAGGCTGGCTTTGAACTCACAGAAATATGCTTCCCTCTGTTTAGCAAGTTGTGGGGCTAAAGACTAACAAATTATTTTTAATTGTCTTTAATTTCAATTGGATAAAAAACTGGATCAGAAATACATATACTATGAATCAAATGTGGTTATAACTCCCAATGATAGAAGCATGAGTATGACAGTCAAAGCTCTGGTCCTCACAAAATTATGATCTAGGACCATCAGCCGACTATAGCCTATGAGCTTATCCAGCCCATTTTAACAATTTTGTGAGTTAACAGTGGGTTTCACATTTTTAAATAGTTGGGGAACAATACTTCACAACACATGAAAACTGCATGATATTCAAGTTTTAGTGTTCATCGATAAGGTGTTTGGAAGAATTTGGCCATGTTTATTTATGTATTACCAACATCTATAGCAGAGTCAAGTATCAAAATGAAACAATATAGTCCATAAAGCCCAACATTTATCAACCCTTGTTCTATTGAAGAGCAGTAGGCTCAGAGACATGAGGAACATTTTACATTGTTGAATTAAATCTTTGGTAAGCATACCTCACTGTCAGGTTCTATCAGTGTCTTCACTAGTAAAATGTAAAACTGAGATTCATAGTGGTTCACTATTTAAATAGAGTCACAGTTACTAAGTGGTAAATAGACCTATTCTATGATTGTACGACTCAGTAGGCAATGGACTTAGCCAACACCCTATTGACCATTATTTCTCTTACCTGAACATAGAAACTTGCTGCCTGGAAAATCTTGTCAAAAGATTGAAATACACTAATTCAACAGATTTTCAGTGGGACCCCAAGACTATGATTTCTGACAAGCTTCCAAGTGGTGCTGGCCTGGCAGTTCACAGATCCCAGGGTCTGAATGGGTGACTCTCAATCTGGGTTATACATCATAACTCTGAGGAAATTTTTAAAAAATAGCATAGGTCCACTCCATGAAATACTGATTTAATTGGCCAATGATCCAGGCATTCAAACTTTTATAAAAAGCTTTCCTAGTGATTCAGTGCATAGACAAGATATCAAGTTACTACTCTGCTAGAATCCTGTTGGCCCAAAGTAAAACTGTTCAAATGGGAATCCAAAGACCCAGGTTTGAGCCCTTGACACAGCAGGGTAAAACCTGATGCTTCCTCTGTTTGAGGTTCATTTTCTTTGAAGATGAAAAACAAGGAAGCCTGAGCTGGATGATCTTGGAAGGCTCAAGATCATGGACTTGTCAGTTTCTCACACAAAGTGGTGAGAAATCAGGGGTTCCTAGGTTTCAAATGCATCCAAGGTATTATCTGGTATCTTGTCCTGTTTGGACACTTTATCATTATAGAAATGATTCCACATAGCCAGGCTGCCCTACCACATAGCTAGAATCACAGTTAAAATTATGCTTTAATGATTATGAGAGTAGCACCTATTTTATTGCAGGAAAATTGTGGGAATCATAAGGAGGAGAAACTCAGTCACAATCCCTGGAACATTAAAACTGTATTTTTTAATAGCCTCAGCCAAGTAAATGACATTGTGATTAAATGACTTCCCACAGAAGCAAGGAGGAGTAGGTGGCTGAGAAGGACCTCCCTCACAGAAGCCCTGTTATTATATCTCCAAGCCTGGACTCGATGGTAGTAGTGTGAGCTCCTATTGGGAGCATGGGAACTGTAGCCTGTAAACCAGACAGACTCTAAACATAGACAGTGCTTTCAGGCCCAACTGCTTCTAGGCTACTCTTCGTTTCCTCATAATATGTAGTGTTTTTATGTGACTTTTGATATGACATTAGATCATAAACCTCCATGTGGTCACAAAAAGTTGAGAAATACATGTAGAAATCAAGAGTGTGGGGTAGTCAGGAGAATGGGCTGGGTCCAGATAGTTCTGGGTTTGAATCTAGCCCCTGGCTCTTACTATCTTCTCTATCTGTAGAAATAGATAATAACAGTACATACTTTACAGGGTTTCTCTAAGGATTTAATGACAAAGAATACAAAAAGCATCAAAGCACAGTGTTTGGCACATAGAGATGCCCAGAAAATGATGCTGAGTATGTCATGATGGATAATTATGATAAAACTTAGGTGCTTTGGGGGGGGGGTCTTACTACTTTGAAAACAAAACTAAATTCATGCCAATTTTGCTTGTCTTTTAGCTGGATTAGTCTGCATGGAACTCTCAAGTGCTAAAACACCCAACAACACCGATGATAGTTAACTTTTGTCACCATGGTGATGTTACTTTGTGCTAAGTATTTTCAGCGACTAGCAATTCCTGGTCCTTTGAGAGTCTTGTATAAAGATTATGGAACAGCAACCCCTCAGAACTTTTCCAACTATGAGTCTATGAAACGGGACTTCAAATTAGAGATTCCAGAGTATTTCAATTTTGCAAAAGACGTCCTGGACCAATGGAGCAATGTGGAAAAGGTATGGAGCAAATGTCAGACTACAGGACTCAACTGCAAAAGATCATAGCCCCCAGGGATAGTTAGCAATGACTGGAGAGAGTTTCATTGCAATGAAGGGTTAATCAGTGGAAGTCAGTAGTTGCTACTGACATCTAAGGAAGGACACTGCTGAGGTCCCATGATGTTCGAAACAGCTCCAGAACAAGGACTTACTTGACCCACCAGGCCATCATGGCTGCTTGAGAAAGCCTAGGTTATATTAATGGATCCTTTTTGTGTTTTACCCCCACTTTTAAACAAAAAGGAGTAAAAAGTGATTTCAAGAGTCACATGGAAAGAAATGAAGTATAGATACATCACTGGGGGGGGGAATGAAAGGATGTAAGAATTCTAACTTTGTGGGGAAAATAAGCATGTAGAAATAACCTCTGAGTGATTTGTACTTACGTCCTGACTAATAACTGACTTGTGAGTTTCTGCAGAGAATATGTTCTAAGTCAGCTGAGATATAATTTAGCTGTATAACAACCTCTAAGTCCATGATGGCTGCACTTTCCTCAGGCTGGACAGAGACTTTCCAACCCAGCCTTCTGGTGGGTAGATGGAAATGGAGGAGAAGTGAGATGGGGTTTTGAAGAACTCGGATATTTATCCAGGAAATTTGCCAACATACTCACAGAAGCCTGTTCCTTGCAAAGGGGAGACAGAGTAATGTTGATTCTGCCCAAGATCCCAGAGTGGTGGCTTGCGAATGTGGCCTGTCTGCGAACAGGTTAGTAATGTCCACACTCCTGATCACATTCCAACAAGGTTTATCCACACATGTAAGTAGCCATGAGACTTTTATTTGGATTTCGTGTACTGCATCATTTAGTAACTGCTTGCAAGATAGGCTCCAAGGGTCCCAAGTGCATCTTAGAAGGCTACAGCTATTTCCTCCACCTTCTTTTAATCTCTCCACTATTAGGCTTCATGATCATACCATGGCTAATGTTGTCTGTTGATGTTTTGGTCATTCCTTTCTCCTGACTTTCCTCCATACTGTTTGCTATGCTTGGAACCTCTTTCCCTCAAAACTAAGTACACTGCCAACTCTTACTCAACTTTCAAGTGTCAGTTTGGTTTTTTGTTTGTTTGTTTTTAAAGATGTAATTATTTAATGTGTATGAGTGTTTTCCCTGCATGTGTGTCTGTGTGCTATGTGCATGCCTAGTGCCTGCAGAGGCTAGATGAGGATGTCATCAGATCCCTGGGGAACTGAAGTTAAGGATAGCTGTGAACCACTAATTGGATGCTGGGAATAGTACCTGGGTCCTCTGCAAGAGCAGCCAGTGCTCCTAGCTATCTAGGTCATCCCTCTAGATCTCTCAGTCTTCAGTTTAATGTTACCTTCTCAGACAACCATACCCTCATGTCTCAACATGGACACTCTTCCTAATGCATCTGTTATAGTTATTTTTCTATTGCTGGAAGAGACACCATGACCAAGACAATTTATAAAAGAAAAGCTTTTAATTGGTGGATTGCTTACAGTTCTAGGGGGTTAGTCCATTTCCATTATGGTGGGAAACAGGCATGGTACTGAAGCAGTAGCTGAGAGCTTACATCTGATCCACAAGCAGAAAGCAGAGAGAAGGCACAACTGGACCTGGCATGTTTGAATCCCAGAGTTCACCCCCACTGAAATACAGCCTCCAACAAGGCCACACTCTTCTAACAAGGCCACACCCCCAATTCTTCCTGAATAGTCCACCAACTGGGAATCAAATATTCATGGGACTGTGGGGGCCATTTTCATTCAAACCACCACAGCACCCTAAAGTAATATATATTACTATTTAAACTTTTGGGCTTAGTAGTTGTCTACATATAATCTGAAATTACCATGAGGGTCAGGAATGCTCCTAACAGGCCATTAATATAGCTTATCTCAAACCTTCAGTGATTAGCATATAGTAAATGTTCAGTAAAATATTTTTTGGATTAATGTACTGGTTGTCACAATATATCCCTGTATTAAGTGTCCAGTCTTTCATTAGAGGACAGCTAACATATTCTATTTCATATACACATATGAAAAAGCAGAGCCTATTTTCAATTAGTATTTTAAAAATTAGTACACCCATGAACATTGCTGAAGCTCACTTTCTTAGTAGGTACTGTTTTGTTTGTTTGTTTGTTTTTTGTTTTTGTTTTTCAAGACAGGGTTTCTCTATGTAGCTTTGGAGCCTATCCTGGCACTCGCTCTGGAGACTAGGCTGGCTTCGAACTCATAGAGATCTGCCTGTCTCTGCCTCCCAAGTGCTGGGATTAAAGGCGTGGGCCACCAACGCCCAGCAGTAAAGTACTGTTTAACTGGCAAGATCATATCAATACAATAATAGGCAGGCAAATGGATGGTTGCTGGAAAAGCTTACAGGGAAAAACAGTACAGAAGGAGCAAAGGGGTTTTGTAAGCAAGCAGACTTGAGTCAGCAACCTCTTCCTCTGTTTGTCCTGAAGTCACTGCTCCTCTTGTCTGCATCTTTCCTATGAGCTGCCTCTTTATTCCTCTGTACGAACATTCCTCACCAATTGGGCTCTGTGCACCTTTGATTACTATTCAGATGCTTCAGGGTCTGGACCCTGTGCGACCCATCTGGTACCCAACTCAGTAGCTTAAGTATCAGAGCAGAATCTGATAGGTACAACTTTAGGATAAGCAAGTCAGAACAGGTCAGAGGCAAGTTTTCCTGATTCCAACATGATTCCTGGGGCTCTTGATAGGAAGGAAGGCAAATTGTCTTAGATGGTTAGGAGTGAGACAATGAAGCATAAACCCAATAGTCTTAAGAATGTTAGTGTTGTGGCACATAGTCATTTCTTTTTCCTGGTCATTTTTCCCACTTAATAAATAAACAACTAGAGAATGACTCGGGTTAAGAATGCTTGCTGCTTAGTTGTGAAGACCAGAGTTTTGGATACCAGTACCTAGCTCAGGCAGTTCACAAATGCCTGGAACTCCAGCTCCAAATGATGTAATGCCTTTTGGTCTCTGCAGGCACCTAAACACGCATGTGTACATATACTCATAAAGACAGACACATACACACATGCACATTAGACAAACCCTAAAAGTCAGCTGTGGTGGCACACACCTTTAGTCCCACTTGGGAGGCAGAGGTGGACAGATCTCTGTGAGTTTAAGGCCAGCCTGGTCTAGAAAGTGAGTTCCAAGACTGCCAGGGCTGTTACAAAGAGAAACCCTGTTTACAGATCTCTGTGAGTTTAAGGCCAGCCTGGTCTAGAAAGTGAGTTCCAAGACTCGACAGACACACACATACATACACATGCACGCACGTGCGCATTCAGGTGTATAGGTGCCATGTGCTATGTGGAAGTCAGACAGCTTTCAGGAGACTGCCCTTTCTTTCCACCATGGGATGCAGGGGTTGAACTCAGGTTGGCATGCTTGAATGGCAAGCACTTTTACCCAATGAACTATCTCTCTGGCCCATGAAGGAATTTTATAAAGTGTTTAAGAAGATACTATTAAATGGCAGAGTAGTCCAATGAATTTTAATGTGATTTTAAAAACAAGGAAGGCACTTAGTAACAAAGAACAATGATCACCTGCAGTTTTAAAAGTGTGGTGTTGACTCAGTGGCATAGGTATCACTGGGCATTTGTCAGAAACAAATTCTCTAGCCCCACAGAACATCTGAAATTAAAACTCCGGCAAGCAGCCGGACAGCTGACACATTCAGAAGGCAATATACCTTATCCCCCGATAAATAAGGTAGCTCTATCATATGTGCATTTCTGGTGACCTCACCTGCAGTTTTAAAAGTGTGGTGTTGACTCAGTGGCATATGTATCACTGGGCATTTGTCAGAAACAAATTCTCTAGCCCCACGGAACATCTGAAATTAAAACTCCGGCAAGCAGCCCGGACAGCTGACACATTCAGAAGGCAATATACCTTATCCCCCGATAAATAAGGTAGCTCTATCATATGTGCATTTCTGGTGACAAGATTTAGCCTTGCTAAATGAGGGGTAGACCCCTGAAGTATGTGCTGAACTCTCACTGCATAATACTGCAGTCCATAAAAACAGGGTTTCTCTGTGTAGTCATGGAACTCACTTTGTAGACCAGGCTGACCTGGAACTCATGGAGATCTGGAAGTAAACTCTAATGCTAGTAAAAGAATGGACTTGACAGGGAAAGTGAGGGCAATCAGGCAAAGTACAAGCTTCCTTCTTCCACATCCTTTATATAGACTGCCACCAGAAGGTGTGGCCCAGATTAAAGGTGGAACTTCTCACCTCAAAAGATCCAGATTTAGGGTGGATCCTCCTTCTTCAAATGAATTAGTCAAGAAAAATCCCTCATAGGTATACCCAGACACTTGGGTTTTGGTTAATTCCAGATGTAGTCAAGTTAACAACCTAGAAGAGCCATCACATACATTCTAATTAAAACATAATTGCATTACTTTCCCCCTTCTTTTCCTCCCTTCAGCCCCTCCCATGTCCCCTCCTTCTGATGTTTCTCACACCCCTCCTCGACTCGTAAGTTGATGGTCTCTTTATTATTACATATATGCATAGATAAATGCACAAATATATAATGCATCCTGCTGAATCCTTTGTTTTTGTTTGTGACTATATTGGATAATAGTTTGGGTGCTCACTCCTAGGAGGAGCTAATTCTTCCACTCTCTGCAGTCATTAGCTACTTGTAGTTCTTTGTCTAGGGTAGAACTTCATGAGATTTCCCCCCTTTCCACATTAGTGTGTCTATTGTTTAGGCAAAATATCTATTCATTCTTTGAAAAAAAGAACCAAAAGCTAAGAACTAATATGTATTAAATTTTATTCTAAACTCATTACATGCTTTAACTCATTTAATCTAGACATAATCCCATCAGAGATATATTTTTATAATCCCAATTTTAGAGTTGCAGAAAGTGGGGCTCACAGAAGTGAAGGGCTTATTGGGGGATGAAGTTTATGGGTGTCTGCTCCTAGACACAAACACACTAAATCTTATGTTGTAATTGACTATAGGCAAGATGAGGACCACAGAAAAGATATATACCTCAAGAAAAATAAGCAATCAGTACATTGTGAAGGTATTGGACTGAGTAGTTATATGCCCAGTGATGGAAGCCAGCTGAAGATTTTGATTCCTGCATTTTCACTCATTCATGAGCTATGAAGCATGCTATGAATAGCTGTTTACAATGGAGATGTTTGGACAGGGATTAAATGAGTTAAAATATGCAAAATAGAATAATACCTGGCACTCAAGTACTCAACCAATGCTGAATGTTATTTTTCAATTAAAATTCCTTAAATCTCAATGTTTTAGGTAATCTTCAAACACAAGACAGTTACTCAGCATTTAATGCTCTTTTGTTAGGGCAAAATGACATAGACTTGGAGACCTCTTGGAAGGCAAAATATCAGAACAATGGAAGAAAAATAGATATCTTCTCTAGTTAATTCACTAACTCTGAGACACACAAAATGTGAATGTACTAGCTACAGTATCCTACCTACCATAATAGAGGTTAATCTCACTTTTAAATATTATTTCTTTTCTGTTCCTTTAGGGACAGTTTTAATTCCAGGAACAACTCAGCTGACCCAGAAAGACATCCTCTACCGACTACAATCTTCAAAAGCGAAGTGCATTATTACCGATGATGCTTTAGCCCCAGCAGTAGACACTGTGGCAGCTAAATGTGAAAATCTCAGCTCCAAACTAATTGTGTCCCAGCACTCCAGAGAAGGGTGGGGGAATCTCAAGGAGATGATGAAGTGAGTAGTCTCAATTTTTAAAGAGTGACCCACAAAGGAAGGCAATAATGAAAACAGGATCCCATTCAGTAGTGGTGAGGTAAATGCAAATGATTAACAAGAATAATCTGTGATTAGTACAGAACTAACAGTGTCAAGCTTTGAAGTAAGAAAGAGTCTGGTTGAGATTGTGAAAAAGCAGTTCCTGAGACTGAGAATGGTGTACAAAAAGGCTTATTAGGGAATTCTCCTGTGAAAGAAGGGAAGAGGAAGAAATTCATTTCCTATGTATTCCCCTGAAGCTCTCAGCTAACACACTGGACTTTGAATGAATCCTTAGGGCTGTGAGAATCTACAGTAGGCAACCCTGTTCCTACACACCCACAGTGATCATCAGTTTTCGGATGGGGGCTGTCCCTAGCAGACTTGGGATCATGAAGGTGGCTGCTCACATTACCCAAGTAAAAGGGTGGAGGTAGAGTTAGCTTTACCTCAGGACTGAATCCAAGTTACTGATTCATAAACTCAAGCATGTGGGTTTTCAAATCCTCCTTGGAGGTCACAGTCAGGCATAGAAACACTGTAGATTGTCTTTTGCAGATATGCCAGTGACAACCATACCTGTGTGAACACAAAGCACAATGAGATGATGGCCATTTACTTCACCAGTGGGACAACTGGGCCTCCTAAAATGATCGGACACACCCACAGCAGTTTTGGTTTAGGATTATCTGTCAACGGAAGGTACTCCCACAGAGTGATTTGTGGACTAGCCTTTTAAATTTGTTTCCCAAGAAATTACACATTTTTGTAAATTTATATATTTAAATTTCTACATACATTTATGTGCATGTAATTCTCACCAACCTAACAGATTTATACAACAGGGCTATTTGTGTTCCAGGTTCTGGCTGGATTTGACAGACTCGGATGTGATGTGGAATACTTCAGACACAGGCTGGGCAAAGTCTTCATGGAGTAGTGTTTTTTCTCCATGGACTCAAGGAGCATGTGTGTTTGTACACCATTTGCCCCGTTTTGAGTCAACTTCCATCTTGCAAGTAAGGCAGACTAGAGGAGGTTCATGGTTAGAGATGCGCTAGCTTTAGTAGTATCACTGATGGGATTGGCAGCTAAAGTAAATGCAGAGATCAGAGTTTTAAGACATCTGCATCTGCAAAGACCACAAGGATGGGAAAAGAACGGAGTATGTTAACATTAAACAGTTTTATGTTGTGCTGTGCCTCCGGCAGATTGAAACATTTCAGTTGAGATAGTTTGCTCTTTCTAAACTGCAGACCCTCTCCAAGTTCCCCATCACTGTCTTCTGTTCTGCGCCAACTGCCTACCGCATGCTTGTTCAGAGTGATACAACCAGGTAAGACATGTAGGTAAATGGACACTCAGTCAGGGGAGAAAGGAGAAAAGGGAAGCTAGAAAATGAAACACTTTTCTGTTCAAACCACAGATCCAATTAGTTGGTACAGGATTTGGTGGTTTGTTTGTTTTTATTTTCCCTTCCTCCTTTGATTGATTGTTGACATTTCAAAGATGGTTACTATGTTCAGAGAAGGCGCCCATTAACATGGAGAGGAACGGGAAGATAAGACCATGCCTAGAACTCTGAATGCAGTGGTTATAATAAAAATGGGGAAGATATTCAAGCTTTGTGGTGGCAGCTATTTTCTGAGCTGAGATAGTAGACAGGTTGCTCATTTTTGCAAATTCACCCAGAAAACAGAAGTGAGAGTGTATGTTTTAAATCTACTGTGATTCTTTTTGAAGTGCTTGATTGTTGCTCTGAAAAGAAGATAGTCACTGTGCTCATGGCTCAGCACTCTTTCTCTAAAAAGAGCAAGACACAGTTTGCTGTGAGTCAAGTATAACCGACTATGGGTCAGGGACATGAATTCAGATGACCTTGAATGACATGTTCCACTGTGGAAGCAATTACATGAACATTCATAGTCACAGAACAAAGGAAGGCATGAATCAATGCCTTTGCTCAACACATTCGTGCTAGCATCAGGTAGGCAGCCTACAGGGGAGCCAAAGGGGGACCTCTTCTGTGGATTTCTGATGTTATAATAGTCTCAGTTTGAGAGTTTGTGGAAACCAGTGGTCTTCCAAGTTTAACAAAATATATTTCAAACATTTTATCTAATAAACTGATGATAAGATTAGATATACAAGTTGGTAATAAATGATTATTAAGAGTGCCAAGGATAATTTTGGCCCTCAATCCTGGAAATTCCATCTTACCACAATCATGAAGTGCTGCCACTCAGCCTGTGAGATCTTTCACACAGATGTGGCATATTCAGAGAACTTCAGTTCACCACTATGAGGTGATTTTTAATTGATGATTTAAAATATCATTACAGAGCTGGGTGTAGTGGTGCACTTAATCCTAGTGCCTGGGAGACAGAGGCCAAGTTCAAAGCCAACATGGTGTACATTGCAAGTTCCAGGGCTACATTTCTCATTCGTGTGCATGTGTGCACATGTGTGTTTGTGTGTGTAACTATGGGAGTGCCTTCCCTAAAGATGCCAGAGAGAGAGAGAGAGAGAGAGAGAGAGAGAGAGAGAGAGAGTGGCATTAGAGCAATCTGCTTCTGGCATCAGGGTGCTACTTTATATCAGAGAGATCTGCTTATTTTGTTTTAGCAACAGTCCTAATTCCCATGTCTTGCCATTTTTATTTCTCAACCTAACTCACTCCATGTTTTTGGAGAAGCTATAAGTTCAAAAGTTTGCAGCACTGTGTGAGTGCTGGGGAACCAATCAACCCTGAAGTGATGGAACAATGGAGAAGGAAGACAGGCCTAGACATCTACGAAGGATATGGACAGACGGAAACGGTACCTGCCCCATTGAAGACAGGATTGGGTGTGATTAGTCAGAAAAATAAATGCCACGTATCTAATGTGTCCTATGATTGCTGGAGGAATAAGGAAAGTTGTGTTTAGGAAACATTTTTTAAAATGCAATGTTTGAGAAAAACTAATTGCAAAAAAACTCATCACATTTTTGAGAAAAATGATTAACTGGTTAGGGTGAGAATGTCACAGTATTTTAAATGAGAAAAGTATTGGCTCTATGTGACACAGAACTTTCTAAAGACTCACATAATAGAAAACTGTGAGTGAGTTTCTAGGTCTCTGAAGTATTGAGTCTACTGGGAGACTCCTTAGAAAGCAGATGCATGCTAAAGTACTCTGTGACACCAGCACTCTAAAGGTAGAGGGAAGAGGATCAAGTTCAAGATCGTCCTCAGTTACATAGTGAGTTCAAGACTAACCTGGGCTATGTGAACAAGCAAGTGCATAAAAGGTAATATAAAATAGAATAGGTCCTTTAAAGAACTCACGCATATTAAAAAATTGTAGAGGGTTTTAGCTTAGTAGTAGACCACTTTCCTAGCATATGTGAGATCTCAGTTCAAACCTCAGCACCACCAAAGACCTCTAGAGAAAACTAATAAAGTTAGAACAAAGTGCTTATTTTGTAGTAGAAGGGGTGATAGGACCATCAGAGAAATGGAAAAGTTGGCATTTTCATTGGGTGTGTCTTATTTACAAGGTTTGAACTTCTAAACTCTGTGAATTATTACCTGGAAACATTGAAAGTCCAAAATTAAACAACAATAGAAATTGACAAATTATTTAAACACACCTAACTTAGCATCCATTGTGCTAGTCTAAGTACAAATGCTAATACATTCATATAAATTATTTCTTACATCTTTATTGTGTATGGTGGTAAACTGTCAATATCTATATTCCATGAGAGCAGAGATTGTATGGGTTTTATGTTAACCCTGCTTCACAGCTAAGTTCTGTTGAATGAATGCACTATAGATGAAGCAGCATTTTTAATTACTTATGAAGTTATCTTACTTTCTTCTCCTTAACCAGGTGCTGATCTGTGGAAATTTCAAGGGCATGAAAATTAAGCCTGGTTCCATGGGAAAGCCTTCTCCTGCTTTTAATGTGAAGGTTTGCATGTCCTCTTCCAGGAGAATGTTTCCTCACTATACCCACCCACAGTCTTTTTAGATGGGATAATTCCATGCTACTTCTATACCTTTACTATACCAAAAGAGAACTGGATGGGAAATGTTGGCTTAATACCCTCTTACTATTGTTGCAAACACCTATATTGTGCCATGAATTGTAAATGGAGTTGTTCAAGCAAGATATCACCACAATGAATTCTGGGCATTTAACTGACCATTTAATTTCCAGAAATATCCTGAAGATATACTAATAGGAACTTTGCAGGTGAGTGTAGACAAAGAACTCACCCAAGCTCATGCAGCCAGAGCCCCAGAGTGGGAACACAATCTCAAACAATCTGGCTCCAGCATTCACACTCTTGGCCACAGTATGTGGTAATGGGGGACTAGACCTTCTGAGAGGATCAACCAGGCCCAAGGTGGCACAAGTTCAAAGTGGCTGTAGCACATACTTCTGTCTGCCCATCTGTTTCCAGGCTTTCTTTAACTACAACCCCTATCACCATCCGATGCCTGGGTTTGGAAAGCATTTTATTTTCCCGTCTGCAACTTTGCACAGGGTTAAAGTTTTCTCAGCTAATCCCAGCTTCACAGCTGGGTGTAGACAGAGGATTTGCACTAACATTCATACAGAAAAAAGGGGAAAGGCAGCGGTGGCAAAAAAGGCAAAAATGGAACAATTTCTAGAGAACAGGGCTCAGACCTACACTTAATTCAAGCATAGCTAGATCAGTAGTTGTCAAGTACATCGGGCAAATCACAAGGTTATTTGTTTGAAATACCCATTCATATTTCTCTTCCTGGGTACATCTCATTTCATAATGTGACACAGAACTCTGGAATCCATGCTTAACAAAGACATATTTCTAAATGACAAAAGCAGGCTGCAAAACTTCTTAGGAGGTCCTAGTTTTTTTCTGTCTATAATTGTCCCAAAGGACATTACAAAAAAAAAAAAAAAAAAAAAAAAGGGGGGGGGGCAAAGGTGAGGAACTTTTTACTATCCTTTCTCATTTTGATTTTGCATTTTTATAATATTTTATGCAATGATAACTTAGATAAACAATACATTTAACAATTTAAAGTATATTTAAAATGTTTTTAAGTGTATATTCTGGCCAAAAATGATTCAAAGGTAAAATTTCAGTGTGGTGTTAAATTAAAATTCCCTTAAATAAGCTGTCCTGTTTTATTCTAGATTTTAGATGAAAATGGTGCTATTCTTCCTCCTGGACAAGAAGGAGATATTGGTATTCAAGTTCTTCCTGATCGACCATTTGGCCTTTTTACTCATTATGTAGTAAGAACTGTATTTTTAAAATCTGTTTTCTATGTATTCTTAATCCCAACATTTGGGACACAGAAGCAGGAAGGCTACAAATTCAAAATCATCCTCAGTTACTACAAAGCAGCTTTGAGGCCAGTCTAGAATAGCCGAGACCCTGTTCCAAACAAAGTATTTGGTAACTTTCCTATTTTTACAAAACAAGCCTATGAACTTTGTCTTTCCTTGAGAGGTTCACTGTCCTGAATAATAACTTCACATACAGGCAATTAAAAAATAATGTTCTTGCCAAATCACATATTAGTGCCCTCTCTTTGAAAGGGAACCAGAAAAGGGAGCTCTTAGCTATGCTTTCTTAACATCTGTAGATCCTTTCAACTAACAAATAGAACACACTTTCCTGACATCTCATTAGCTCTCTACTCACTCCAATGGAACACGGAACAGGGCCAGGGAATTAAGTAAATTCATTTCAATAGAAGATTTCTTATCTTTAATCATGATAGAGATAAGAGCAAAGTTTATGTTAATGTACTAAGAGGTCCAGATCATACCTGCCAGTGAACTTTATGGAAGGTAGAAATTTTTTGTTTGTCTTATGTAAAACAAACCAAGCAAATAACACATCTGTTCTGAATTAAGCATTGTGCTTTCCTTTAACTCTTGTCTCTTTTTTCCTGCCAGTGCTGGGTATTATTTAGAAAAACGTTTAATTTTGCCTATTCTCCAGAGCTTTGGGCTGCTGCAACATTTATCTTATGATCTACATGAAATATTCTCAAGAGTTGCATCAAGTCTTTGTAACTGCAATTTCTTTTATTTTGGGCTAGATCCATTCTGGAATTCATTCCTACTTCATTCTGGCTCCTCTTCATTCTGAGGGTTCTCAAGGGGGCAGGGCTTTCTTTTTCTTTGAACATTTAAAAATGACTGGACAAAAGAGTCACATTCATAATAATAACAGAATGCTATTTGTTTTGTAGGATAATCCTTCCAAAACAGCCTCAACTCTACGAGGGAATTTCTATATCACTGGGGACAGAGGATATATGGACGAAGATGGCTATTTCTGGTTTGTTGCGAGATCAGACGATATTATATTATCCTCTGGGTAACTTTCCTTTCCATGTATGCATGTCTATTATCAAGCATTCTGGGATGAATCTATAACTCACCCTTATGAGTTCCTGTCATGTGTTTTCCTAGCTACAGAATTGGACCATTTGAGGTAGAAAGTGCCCTGATAGAGCATCCTTCCATTGCAGAGTCAGCTGTTGTCAGCAGCCCAGACCCCATCAGAGGAGAGGTAAAAGAACCAATTCATCTAGACTTTCAATTTTGTTGATTATCTAAACACATACTTATTTGTGTGTGTGTGTGTGTGTGTGTGTGTGTGTGTGTGTGTGTGTGTGTGTGTTACAAACACATATGTGGGTGTGATTTCCCTGTGTAGGCATATGTGGCTATTGAGACGCATTCCTCAATCACTTCATCCTACTCTCTCCCTGAACTGGAGCTCACTGGTTAGACTAGGCTGGTTGGTGGGTCAGTAAGCTCCTGCCCACTACCCATCTCTTTCCCCCAGTACTGGGGTAACAGATTTGCACTGCCATGCATGGCTTTCCCCCCAATGGGTCTGGGATGCAAATCTAAGTTCTTATGCCTAAGCAACAAGCACTGTACTCACAAGCCCCATAGCACAAACTTTTAAACAGTATTTCACTTAAAATGAATTACTTTACTTATTAATGTTGTCATAAAACAAGGGTGGTTCTCCTTTGGAGATTATTTCTCCTAAGAGGTTTTGATGCCAGAGGATAATCTGGTGTCTTTAAGGATAATCAATTGTACCCACAGGGTATTAGCTCTTCCCACACCTTACTGTCATCATCAGTACTGTCTACTTAGACAAATGCTTATCTGGGACAGGGTGGTTGTGGAGTTTTTAAGACCAGGGTTGGTTTGGAAGGCACCAGGTATCCCAGAATATGATAACAGCCAAAATCTGTAAGTGGGTTATAGTTCCTCTATAGTTCTAGAGTCTTGGGGTAGTGTTGACACTAGCCAGAGTGAGGGAAAAAGTTTGGCCTACTCGACCCCGGTGGGCTGCAATACCTCATGGCAGAATACCTGCAATACCTCAAGGCATCCATGCACAAAACAGCAATGTGCTGCATGCCACAGACATTCTTTTACTTTCCATGACAGGTCTGTCCTAGCCTGTTTGGGCCCTTCTCTAGGAAAGGACTAACCAGATCTTTGTTTGGGTAGTAAGTTCCAGAAGAACTGATCAAAATCAAATAAAATGAAGACTTAGAGATATGATTCCAAATATTGGTTTTTATTTGCTTATGACAGTCTTGCAGCTTACTGTCTACTGTTGCCTATTTTAAGGATTCCTAATACAGTTAAGTAAAACTACTTAACTACAATCTTCACGAATATTTAGCTTATTCTCAGGTAAATTATTTAAAAGCAAATAAGATTTCAAATGATTTTCATCCTTTACATTTTTAAGGAATTTCACAGGCTGCTTTGCTTTGAAGTTTTTATTTTCAAGAAAGATGTAACTCAACAGTGGAAAGCTCAAGGTCTAAGATTTGATTCCCAGGCACCACTCCCCCTTCTCTATCTCTCCCTTCCTCTCTCTCTTCCTCCCTCTCAATCTTTTCCCCAGTGGTTTATGTTTAATTACATTTTCCTTTTTAAAACGATTTATTTGTATTTTATGTGCATTGGTGTTTTGTCTGCATATATGTCTGTGTGAGGATATCAGATCCCTTGGAACTGGAGTTAAAGATAGTTGTGAGTAGCCATGTGGGTGCTGGGAATTGGACCAGGGTCCTCTGGAAAAGCAGCTAGTGCTCCTAACCTCTGAGCCATCTCCCTATTTTTAAAAATTTTTATTTGTTATTTGACAATTTCATATATGCGTACAGAGACAGTTCATCTTGTCCATCCTGACTTCACCCTCCCACTATCCCAGAGACCTTCAACATATTCCTTTCCTAACTTCATGCTGTGTTTCCTTCCTTCCCCTCCTCCTCCCCCCTCTACCATCTGGCACACCCCTACTCCTGGTCCCTAACTTCAAGTATTGACAAAGAAGGTGCTTATGTTCACATTCTGCCACAAGACAAACATATGTTAAGAGTAAAACAAATTTGTGTAAAATACATATAATCATGTAATAAAAATACAATGTGAACTAAGGAATACCAATGTCACAAAAGAAAGTGAAAGTCTGGGGTGTTAATGTAGCTGCCGGATGAAATGATTAACTAATTTGTTCAAGTACAATAAAAACTTGGGAGTCAGAAATTGAGATAAAGAGCTGAAAAATCTAAGGAAAGTAGAGCCATTGGCTGACCCTTTCTCCAGCACTGAAAATTCCCCCGAACTCCTCCCAAGTCTCTTCCTGTCCTCTCTAGCCACCCTGCAAAGCCCTCCAAGAACTTTGTGACTAATGCCAGTCAGCCAATTGCTGACTCTGTCCTAGATTCTAGGTTGCTTTATTGGCACAGTAGATAGGCTGTATGGACAATTCTCCTGTAATATTTCTCTCTTTTGTCTAAATAAAAAGGAAAAGTTTTTTTTTTAATTTATTTATTATGTATACAACATTCTGCTTCCATGTATATCTGAACACCAGAGGAGGGCAGCAGATCTCATTCAAGGGGGCTGTGAGCCACCATGTAGTTGCTGGGAATTGAACTCAGGACCTCTGGAAGAACAGTCAGTGCTCTTAACCTCTGAGCCATCTCTCCAGCCCAAAATGGAAAAGTTTTAACTTTAACAATACAAAACTAAGCCAGGCATTGGTGGCACACGCCTTAAATCCCAGCCCTTGGGAGGCAGAGGCAGGCGGATCTCTGTGAGTTCGAGACCAGCCTGGTCTACAAGAGCTAGTTCCAGGACAACCTCCAAAGCCACAGAGAAATCCTGTCTCGGGGTCAGGGTCGGGGGGCACAATACAAAACTATATACAATAAGAACAATTACCAAGGAAGAAATGTATTTACAATGTTCAGTCCATTAGTGTTTGACAACTTTAGAGACAATATTCCTCTCTTGATGAGTCCAAAGTTTTGGAATTTACTTCCTATTAAGGAAAACTATAACTATCTCATCTTCAATTCCATTAAAGCCAAAAGAAAGATATACTATTACTGAGTAAACAGAAAATGCAGTGCAAGTCACTTCCAAAAAAACAGATATCTGGCTGCCTGGGCAGTCACCCAGGGTTTCTCTGCAACATTTGGGCATCCATCTTCAGCCTATACCTAGAACATCTGGCAGACTTTCTATGAAGCAGGAATTTAAAAGGACTGTCCCACTTTATCTTGGCAAAGTTCAGCAGTCTTTTTCCTTTGTGCCCTGCTTGTCCAGTTTTTCCAGCATACCATCAGCAGTCAAGACAAGAGTAATTTCTTGCCCAAATGGCTAGTTTTGTCACACTGAAAGAAAACTCCTTATGCAGTTTCTTCAGATGCCCATCATCTTCTTTGAAGTAAATTGGTGCTGCCAGGAGCAGACATGTCTCATTGTCATGAAAAGCCCTATATTAACAAAATGCTTTAAATATCATATCCTGTAGGTCTTTGAAGTGTTTGAAGGCCATCTATCTAAAATATATCTGTTTGACCTTGAAAACATACCTAACATGACTACAAGTTTGACTGTAATAGGTGACTAACTACTACCCTGAATTTCTTTATTATTCTAAATAGTTTGTAATAATAATAACTTTAAGGACTAGAAATTTTCATTACATTGTTAAATGAGCTACGTAGGTACAATACCTTAAACAAGAGTAGAAATGTATGTATAGTATGTTCTAATAAAAATAACCTTAAATTTGGATCATACAAAAACTGATACCAATGTAAAATATTTGAGACTAATAATGGTTGTCCAAAAGTAGACTTAACAATCATTTTATCCCATCATTCAGAAAGAGAATCCCTGAATTTAATCTCCATTGTTGCTTTTTTTCTGACCATGATGAATAACAATTTGTAACCTGTTGTAGAATATTATTTTAAGGTGTATTACTGTTGTTTATATTGTATTTGTTTAACTCTGTGAAGCTGTGTTACTGTGCCTGTCTAAAACACCGAATAGTCTAATAAAGAACTGAATGGCCAATAGGAGAGAGAATAAGGCAGGGATGGCAGGCAGAGAGTAAAAATAGAAGGAGAAACAAGGAAGAGGAGGAGCAAGAGAACAAGGAGGGGTGGATATCAGGGGCCAGCCACCCAGCTACACAGCAAGCCATGGAGAAAGAAATAAAGAAAGGTATACAGAAGTAGAGAAAGGAAAAAGACTAGAGGCAAAAGGTAGCTGGGATAATTTAAGAAAAGCTGGCAAGAAACAAGCCAAGCTAAGATTGGGCATTCATAACTAAGAATAAGCCTTCATGTGTGATTTATTTGGGAGCTGGATTGTGGGCCCCCAGGAGTAAATAGACAACATTTTGGCATCTAAAGTGGGCTCAAATATCTGTCTAGAGTCTGGGAAAGCTGAAGAAAAAAATAGGGCTCCTTTAAGAAACCCTGATGTATAGCAGCACACTCAAGCAGCATTTTTCACGCTAAACAGAAACAAACAAACAAACAAACAAAACCCTAAAAAAACCCCACCTGCTACAGGCAAGCATCAGTGTTCCAGAGCTCTGGGTAGTTGAATGCAGTTCCTGGTCAAGTACCTCTGACCAGCCTGCAAGCTTTGGGCTTGGCTTTCATAACCCGATCCAAGAGTAGGTAGGGCCAGCCTATAGAGCATGTGGAGGATCCAGGTGTAGTAGCTTAACAGTTTAAAGTTTGCTTGTGCAATCAAAAAAGACAAAAGAGTAAAAAAATCACACAATAGTAACTAACTCCCCTAAGTGATGGCAAACATCCATAACCCACCAAATGACCCAAAACTACCCAACCCACCTCTTGGGAATGTGGGTGTTGTGTTCACTAGAATGCTTCCTATTGTCTGGGGGCACTGGTATCTTTGGAAGACCCTGAGAAAATTGGGATAATGTTTAAGTCTTGGGAGAACTAGCTGTTGTCTAGTGTCAATGTGATGGGAAAATGTGGGGCTTATCTGGAAGTCTGGCTGGAGTAGTCTATGAGGCTGACCCATCTCAGCAAGCATCCTTGAAGTTGTTCTGGGTGTAGAACTCCGAGAAAACTAAAACAAATGTACTCTGAGAGGCTGGGTCACCTGGGCCATCCTATTTCATCGGTCTGGTCCCTTTGCTCTGAACTTTCATAAACTTTCAAAGGTAACATACATATCTGCATTAACATATGTATGTACTATGCACTGTATATACACCAGCCAAAGATGATTCTTTGTTTTATACATTACCTGTCTTGAAGTTTTCTTTATATCTGTAGCCAAGATTTTCAGGGGTCTCCCCCAAGCAAATCTCATCTCTATCAACCTTGACTGAATCCACAGCCTTTCATTTTCTGTGGAAACAAAAGCATAACCTCTTCCCCATGAAATTTCAGAGCAAGTTATAAGCTTATATAACATATGTGTTTCAAAACCACATTCATTTATTTTCAAATCCTCCTTTCTTTTATAAAGTAAGAAACCAAGAAACAGAAACAATCTTAGTTTATCAAGATCACACAACAAACTCCTTTGGGTCCAGGTTGTCTAACTTCAGGGTTCATAATCTTTTGTTTTGTTATTTTGGTCTTTGGTTTTTCAAGACAGGGTTTCTCTGTGTAGCCTGGCTATCCTGGAAGTCAATCTGTAGATCTGGCTGGTCTGGATCTCAGAGATCTGTGTTGGGATTAAAAGCCTCTGCCACCACTGCCCAGCTCAGGGTTCATACTCTTAACCATAATGTTACGATGTTTTTTATAAGGTTAGTATTTTCTGTAATGGTTTATAAAAACTTAGGAAGATAAAGCACATGTTATCAAAGCTATAAAAAGTTAACATGCGAACCAAAAGTTGAAAAAATTAAATAACAAAAAATAATAGGATAAAATTCTACCCACAACAAACACATGCACAGCTGCATAATTTACTTATAACTTCAACAAGTTAATTAGGAATATTCAAGGTTTTTTTTTGATAAAGACAAAAAAGATAACTGGTGAAATTATTTTTTAAAAAACTTTCCCCTGGTAAACAATTTTCAATTTGGAAAAATTTTAGTTACAAGTTGTCAATTCTCACCAAGTGACTTTTCTAAGTGACTGTTTCAAATAGTTTTTGATTAAGCTTTCCCTCTCAGATTAAGGAATACAGATAATAAATGTAATAAGATTTCAGTTTCCTAGCCAGGTAGTGGTAATAGACACCTTTAATCCCAGCACTCGGGAGGCAGAAGCAGGTGGATCTTTGTGAATCAGAGGGCAGCCTGGTCTACAGAGTGAGTTCCAGGACAGCAAGGGCTTCACAGAGAAACCCCGTCTCAAAAAAAACAAACAAACTTTTTTTTTTCCAGTTTCTTAAGTACAGGGTACTTAATCATAAAAGAGTTGTAATGGCCCCTCTGGACTCTAGCCCATGTTGGGACTCTGGATTTGGTGGTAAATACTGACTGCCTTAGGTAGAGTTATGCATCTAGGGGAAGAAGCAGTGCTGGAAGTGCCCAGGAAAAAATAAAACAATTAGACAGAATCCCACTCAAACTTCTCCCCCATCTCCATTAAAGGTCCTAAAACTCTAGGTAGATCTCCCAAAACAGTCTGAGAACAGGCTGCTGGGAACAGGATTTGTGGGTATAGCAACAGTCATCATTTTTACTTCTGCTTCTCAGGCATGTAAGTGGGTCAGAACAAAAGCAAAATGGCTAATGGTATCATTACAGCCTTTTTTAAAGATACATGGAAAGGGCTGGGTGTGCATGTAGCTCAGTGCATAGAGGTAGAATACTTGTTGAGTATGTACAAGTCTCTGGGTTTGAACTTTACTGAGGAGGAAAAAAATAAGCCAAGTGGAGTAAATGTAATCCAGTACTTGGGAAGCTGAGACAGAAGAACCACTGTGAGTTTAAGGCCAGCCTCATCTACATGACAAGACTGTCTCAAAAAGACTACCTGGTCTGAGTGAGCTGCTCCCTTCAATGAAGGCTGGGCTGAGTAGGTCCTAGAGTTCACAAGAGGTTGTACTCAGTGAACTGCCATGTGTTTCTAACAGGAAGCCAAGAACATGGGTAATCAGACTCAGATAAGAACACACATTACAAAATGTAGTCAGTGGGTTCAAAGGTGATCTAAGTCCGTGATACTGAGAAGGCTGAGATAAGGACTTCCTAGGTAGCTTAGGAGCATGAGCACAGTGGGGACTAAACTACACCATGTCCTCCCCCAAAAGTTCACTCCCCTAGGCAGATTCATAGTAAGCGAAAGCAGACAAGACATATCAAGGCACCAAACACATAGCTCATTTGATGTTTTACATATTTACTTAGGTAGTAAAGGCTTTTATTGTTCTGAATGCTGAGTACAAGTCACATGACCAAGAACAACTGAAAAAGGAGATTCAGGAGCATGTGAAAAGGACTACAGCACCTTACAAATATCCCAGAAAGGTAGGCATACTTGTTACAGGCATTTGTTCAGTGCTTTGGAAAATTTTTGGCTATTTGGTTTTTTTTCCTGTTAAATGACCTTTCTCCTTAAATATGCTACACAAAAGGTTGCAAACAAACTGATGATAATAGTCAAATTTTTTGAGGTTAAACTGAAACCTCTAACATAATTCAGTCAATTAGTTCATAATATTAAATGTAAAGAAAAAACTTCAACCATCCTTTCACCTAAAAGTTAAAAGAGCCATTACATACGTGGCATGAATTCAAGTGCTGAACTAACTCCCTGCTCCCCTTATGCCAACAGGTTGAATTTATCGAAGAGCTGCCAAAGACTGTCAGTGGAAAGGTCAAAAGAGGAGAACTGAGGAAAAAAGAATGGCAAACTATTTAACTTATCCATTAACCACCCAAATATCTAAACAAGGCAGTGTGTACAAGTCTGCAGAAACCACAGATTATATGGGCAGACTGCTTCTGAATTGGATTTAAAGTATTTTGTAGTAATGACATCAGAGGCTGAATTCTGAAGTCAAATAGTGAATTCTGCTTTCATGTCAATGTTCCTGTAATTTGGCAACATAAAACAAATGTCATCAGTTGTTGAGATGTTTTAAAATCTATTTTAGAAGCAGTTTTTAAACCAAATTTCTACCCTACTGGTTTTCAAAACCTAACTGAATAGTTCTAATGTTAGTATACAAATCAGAACAAATCCTGAAGCTTTGAAAAACTAAGTAACTTGTTTTTAGAAAATTGTCCTAATTTTTGGAATATTTACCTAAAAGTTGAGTAAAAATTTTATTAGTCATATTTTTATTCAAGTAATTTAAGAATAGTTTGAAATTTGCTTCAAGGTCTATCTATAAGAGACAGATATCATATGATGTGGTTATTTAGTAAATTTAACCTAATAAATATGGTTTATAAAAGTATTTTTTCCTTGTGGTTCATGATAGTTTGATAAATTCAGCAGATGCTAATATATGAAATATACTTGTATGACATTATCCAAATATGCATGCTAGGGAATTTAAGGATCGAGGATTCCTACAGGAACAGACAATGAACAGTTGATAGGCAACTACTGGGCAAGAGTAAAAATCATGCAATCTATTTCCCTTCTGTTTGTGTCAACTGCTCCAGTGTAGCTATAGTCCCAGGAATGTTGACACCTAAGAGCTTGAACCTGATAATCTCATAGTTCCTGTGTAAAAGTCACATCAAGCTTACATTGAAGTAAAAGACAATTTAGAAGAGAGCATATCAATTTCTCATTGAAGGCCTGAGTCGTAAAGAATTTTTAATAGGAAAACTTGATTTTCTGTCATGAATATGGCTTGTTTCTGGAGAGCTGAAAGTGAGTCCTTCTGAGGAACGAGATAGAGCTTTGCTATTGGCTCTTTCCTTTTGAAGTGTTTGTTCCCATTTAAAATAACCACAGCATTTTCTGTCTTCTTGGTGTTTCCCAACAGGGCAACAGTAGAAGGCTTTCCCATGGTTTGGCCCATTATTAGAAACAGTAAGTCGCTTAGATCTTCTGCCACACTTGCACAAGGGAGGTGTCATCTTCCCACTCTCCCAAGGCGCTTGTAGATTAACGGTGGATGTTAAAATGGAGGGAAGAACTTTCAGGGAAGAAGTTCCTGGGGAGCAAGTAGATGAAGTAGATTTTTCTTCATGAACAGTGAAGGTCTGCTTTTTTGCTGGTGGGAAAGCTGGGGGACTACATGAATACCTTTTGGTACCACCTAAAAGAAGAGGTTGTTTCCTCAGAACTGAAGGATTCGGCGAGGCATTGGCATTAAGACTGTTGGAGGTAAATGGTTTGCATTCAGGTAATTTAAAAGCAGAAGCATCTGAGCCTGGATGTTTGGCTCCTTTTACATTATAGATAGTACTGTGAGGACTCTTATACACAATAGACTTGGATGTCTCAAAGTTTTGGGGAGTTTCCTTGAGGTCTTCAAAGTTTTCATAACTAATGATTTCTGGTTCTTTTGAAGCCATCACTCTCTCCCCAGAATTAAATGAAGTGTCTACATTTGTATCACTAATAGAAGGCACAGAATCTTTATCTTTTTCAGCCTGAGATGCTGGCAGTAAAACTACATCTTCCCACTCAGCCAACATAGGCAAACAGTCAAAACTACAACCCACTCCTCCATCAGGAACAACATTAACAGATGGGATGGTTGTAGATACAAGTACCAAGTTGGAGTTAAGTGCTGAGGACTTTGATTTGTCATTCAGTGCAAACTGCTCACTTTTTCTTTGTTTCTGCATAGAGAGAGGTGGATTTACGGTGGGAGAAGATAATTGTTCCATGGAGGTTGAGGGCTTAGCAGTGAAAAGAGGAAAACAATGTTTAATGTTGTGACGATCTGCTTTAGTATTGGTCTTTAGTTGTAATTGGCCCTTTATAGAGGAATTCACAGAAATTAAATTCATTTGAGCATTTTCTTCAGTATTTACTGTACTTTTAGGCTCCTTCTGATATATGCTGGGACCCTGGATGCTAATGTTGCAGGCAGATGTTTCTTTAACTTGATCCGTACTCAAATTTTTGACCAAAATCTTGGGATTCTTCTTAGTAAGAACCTATGATTCCACAGACAAATCCATTGCTTTAGAAACTGTATAATTTCTTCAGTAGACATTATATATGACCAAAAAAAAAAAAGAGGGAACATGCCACTGGTTTGAAATCAATATTGTAATAAACCTATGACTACTATGCTAGAGCTCAAAATGACAGAATAAAGAGGCAAGACACACTAACCTTGTTCAAGGACCTAGTAATTTTCATTAGGCAACCATCTCTGATCATTTTCCAAGCAAGAAGAGCAGTGTTCCTGGAATCATCTAAGCCTGAGGAAATAAAGTATCAAACATTGAATGCCATGGTACTAACATAAAGAAATAACAGAAAACAAATCAGATTTAAACAGAAATTGGGGGATATTGTTAGTTTTATGACCACCTACTGACTTAAAAAAAAAAATCATAAATTGGTCTGTGGGAAGTTGTGACAGCATTACCAATACAAGATGGCTTGTATTTACACAGGTGAGACTTTGTTAGACAGCTTTCAAAAATGTGACCAGCATTCTGTAAAGACCATCATTTATTAAAAAAATAGTCATGTTTAGTTTTTTCAATAGTCCACCATATTATCTGGGCACTTGTGTTTCCATTCGATGTGCTCATTATTTTACTTTTAAGCCAACTAGAACCACTACATGGTGATCTTTATCTAAATTCAAGAAAGTGTGGTAATTTAGCTGGGTAGTGATGGTGCACACCTTTAATCTCAGCATTTGGGAGGCAGAGGCAGGCAGATTTCTGTTACTTCAAGGCCAACCTGGTCTATAAGCTGAGTTGCAGGACAGCCAGGATTGTTACAAAACGGGGTGGGGGTGGTGGGGGAGGGAAGAAACTGGTAATTCACAAATCAGAAATAATTTCAGTTAAGAATACTTTTAAGTATGAAAGGTATTAATGGCACTACCCCCTAAATGAAACTAATATGAAAGATTTTACAAAACTCAAATAATCTACATAATGAAATGATTATCAGTTTATACGAACCAGAATGTTCTCGTCCTGAAAATTCTATTCCCACTTCCTGCAATGCACCACTTAGTCCTTTGGGTTTTCTCTTATAAAAAAGCTAATCAAAAGAAAAAAAGATATATTTTTAAAAAATATAATGACTATTATAGAGGCTATGAAGTTATTTCTCTAAACTTTTAGTTCTATCAGATTTAGAATTTATTATTGCTGTGCTGTCTTATATATTTGAAGATATACATTTATGTAAACATTCCAAGAGAAAAATATCTTATTTGTAGAAATTCACACTAGTAAGATAAAATGCAACCACTTTTCAACAGAGACGAAGTGAACATGCTCCCATCTTTGATCCTTACCTTGTAAGTTGCTCTGAGATCAATCCAAGAATTTAGGAACACAGGTTTTAACAGCTGCTTTCTTCTACACTCATACTCTAAGCAAACACCCAAGTCCCAGTCTGCATTGAGGATATTAAAATCAAAGTCTGTGATGTCAGTGCTCTTCTATTTACAAACAGAATGTATAAAACAGGACACAGTAGAGTAGTAAGATTTAATTGCTTTGCTAATAACTAATGCTCATATGTTCTATATTTTATACCTTATATACTCTCCACTAAGAAATTAAGTTGACGACTGTTTCAACATATTATTCTCTGTGTTTATGCAGGTGCATGTGTGTGGGTATGTACATGTGCTGGTGCAAGTGACAGGGTGTGCACATCAGAGGACAGCCTCAGGTGATCACTCAGGTGCCACCCATCTTATTTTGAGACAGAGCGTCTCAATGGCCTGGAGAATTATAATTTTAAAAGTATGAGTGAAGCCTGGGGGTGGTGGTGCATGCCTTTAATCCTAGCATTTGGAAGGCAGAGGCAGGCAGATCTCTGTGAGTTTGAGGTCAGTATGGTCTACAAAGAGAATTCCTGAACAGCCAGAGCTGTTACACAGAGAAACTCTGTCTCAAAAAACAAAACAAACATGCCGGGCGGTGGTGGCGCACGCTTTTAATCCCAGCACTCAGGAGGCAGAGGCAGGTGGATCTCTGTGAGTTCCAGACCAGCCTGGTCTACAAGAGCTAGTTCCAGGACAGCCTCTAAAGCCACAGAGAATCCCTGTCTCGAAAAACCAAAACAAGAAACAAACAAAAAAACCTAAAGGTAATTTGTTTCTCTTGGTTAGTATCTGTGTGGCCCTTGGTTTTCTTTCCCAGGTCAATAAGGTCAACAAGCATAATTCTAGGTTAACAAGAATAAAACCAGAAATAAAGAACTACATAGTAGTAATGCTACTCCTTTTTTGGTAAGTGGGGCATATGTATATGTGGTATGTATATGCCACATGTTCACAAGTGTTGGGATGTAGGTGTGTGTGTGTGTACATGCATGCTTACATATATGTACATATATGCGGAGGTGTATAAGACTGACATCAGGAATCGATTGCTTTCCACCTTGTCTATTGAGGCATGGTTCCTCACTGAGCCTCAGACTTGCTGTTTTAGCTAGCTGTCTGCTAGTCAGCTTGCTCTGGGGATTCCTTGTTTCCACCTACATATTTGGATTACAGATAGACCACTGTGCCCATGTGGCTTTCACATGGGTTCTGAGGATCCTAACTCTGGTCCTCATGATTGTGTAACAAGCACTGTATCTGCTGAGCCAGCTCCTCAGTCTCAGTGCTACCCATTTTGACTTATAGTCATAACTCATGTTTTTACCTGACCAAGTAACAAAAGCACACAATTTTACTTCAGTAGAAGGCTCTAAATCCCCAGTAGCCAAAATGATTTTCTTCTGCTGCTGAATCTTATGAATCCATTTACAGAACTGAGATAAGCAAATCTTCAGAGGAACTCCTTCATCAACTTGAACCTGATTAGAGAGTCACAAAATCTGAATTCAACAAATAGACTGCATTTATTAGAAATCTAGTAGAAAGATGTTAAGACATATAGGTAAGAAACACAGCAGTGACTTGAATTCAGCAACATACCAGAAACTAGCCTGGTAATACTGAAGTTTCACACGTAAGTTGAGTCTCACAGAAATAAAAGATACTGAGATACATTATTTCTGTAAAATAAACTGTCTCTGGAGCACAAACCCTGGGTTTCATGAATCCTAGATAAGCACCCTCACTCTGAGCTATAACCCTTGACTTGTATATTTATAGCATTATTTTGATTTTTTTTCATGATTCCAGTGGACTTTTGGAGGGGACATTATTTCTCTTTACACCGAATAAATTTAATTCCAAGTGGCATATAGTTTTTACTTTTCTTTTTGAAACTGACTTCTAAACTTTTAAAATTTGCATCATACCTGCTTTATTCCCGTCAGTTCTGTGCAAAATTCAGAAAGAACTGGATGTTCTTGAGGCTGAACATAAGCATGAAACTCAGATTCAATCTCTCCAGTTGCTGTACTCAACAAAACTGCTGGAAATTCAACTAAATAAAAGAATCATGGATTAACACTCAAATATATTTTATTTACTTGTTGCTTATTATTTATTTTGAGGCAGGGTCTCAGTAAGTAGTCCTGGCTGGTTTGGAATCTATATAGATTAGCGGTTCTCAACCTGTGGGTAGAAACCCCTGGCAGGGGGTCAAGTAACTCTTTCACAGGGGTCAAATACCAGATATCCTGAATATCAAATATTTATATTACAAATCATAACAGTAGCAAAATTAATTATGAAGTAGGAACAAAAATAATTTTAAGTTTGGGAGTCACAACATGAGGAACTGTATTAAATGGTCACAGCACTAGGAAGGTTGAAAACCACTGATACAGACCAAGCTTCAAACTCATAGAGATCCACCTGTCTCTGCCTCCTGAGTGCTGGAATTAAGGATGTGTACCACCATACCCAGCCTGAATACACAAATCATCCTAAGCACATACTGCTTTCATAGTAGCATTATTAAACAATCAAATCAATGGCAGTAAAAGCTTATTAGAATAACCAAAGCTGTGAGATAAAGTTTTAATAAAACTATATTAAAGAATAAGTCAAAATACCAAAGTTATGTCTCTATTTAGTTTCACAATTAAAGATAAAGACTATATGAGAGTTAAAATGCAGTCTATTATCATAAAGCCTTTTTTCCAAGTTTTTATCCACTCAAAGTTTTAAATATAATCTTAAAACAACTAGCTACATTGCATAATCACATACAGGTATTTGGCATTTTATCCTTTTTTTTTTTTTTAAAAGACAAGACAGTTTTTATATTAAACTACCAGCTTATAGCATCCTGTTTTCTTATTGGCTGGCTCACATCTAGAAACTTTAAGAAGACTCAATGAGCACTAGCTTCTGCCACTCCAAGTCCAAACTTACTTATTTCAGGGCTATTGTGGTGTTTCCCATCTTTCCAGCATGTAGACTCAAAATCAATGACAATTAAGTAGTCATACACCTGTCCTGCAAAAGACCAGAGGGTTCTTAGGCTTTGTCAATGTCCCCAGTCCAAGGCTTCAAAGTGAAAACAGGGGACTTACTGAACCGGCTTCCTCCTGGATTCCCACTTGCTGGTGCAACTGACTTTCTCCTAATTAATCCAAGCCGCCTAAAAATGCAAAGATCCAATAAAATCAATAAACTCATTTATACTCCAGTTAGAATAAGCTATCAAACTAAGCCCTGAACAACTGGTAAAAATCCCCATTTATGTACTATAATTGGAGTTGGGTATGGGGACACACACCTGCAAGCTCAGGGCTCAGCAAGCCAGGGCAGACTTGAGAACATAGGAAGGCCCAGTCTCAAACAACAGCTGTGTACTGACTGAAGTAAACTAGAGCTAGACTTTACAAGATTGGGGTCTTGTGCTAATTGCCATCCTCTCTCGGGTGTTCATTTTACCTGCGTGGGCTTCAAGCGACTATTTGCAAACACTGATTTCCTTTTATAGCAGCACTGAGGAACTCAGATGACTCTAAAGATGACTAAAAACCCTTTAGCTACTGCACTTTTCAAGCTCTTGCTATTTTTTAAGGAGATGACGCCTGTTCCCACATTGTTAAAAACCTAGGGGAGGAAGTAAGATAAACAGAGTAGTACTAGAAGGCAATTTATGATTAAAAAAAAAGACACCCCCAAAGCAAGATGTTGGAGTTCAAGGAAGGAAAAGGGTTAACCACGGTCTCATATGCAGGTGAGACAAAAATCTGATGAGTACAGCTTTAACTAGCAGATACCAGGAGTAGTTATTTTGGCTTAAAAAAAAAAAAAAAAAAAAAAAAAAAAAAAAAAAAAAAAACAGTCATTCCAGTATAGGGATCTGGGGTTAAAAGTTATCGGCTACTTCATCAGCAAATATTAAACTAAGGTGGTAAACAATTTCAGGTAATAAATATGTCAGTAACCCTTATTTTATACATGAGAACACTAGGTAATTTGCTATATATAGTATGCTAATCTTTGGTAGGGCTCTCCATCCCTGAAATCCATGCTATTCACTAATCTATCACATAGCTTTTTTTTTTTTTTTTCCTCTGATTTGGATTTGGTTTTTTTGTTGTCTGGCTATGTAGACCAGGCTGGCCTCGAACTTGCTTCGTTCGTATTGCAGGAACGCTCCACTGTGCCTGGCATTGTTACACTGTGTGGACAAACCTCAAATGTACACAGCGTGTCCAAAACTCGAGAGTCCGCGGTTAATTCTCACACTAAAATTGGACGCAATGGGTGCAGTGGCATCTGCCTGAGAACAATCTGCACAGCACTGTCACACTGCAAGCGTTTCCCGCCGCCGAGCAAGAACACGCCACTCAGGGAGAAAGAACCCGCTTCCTCGGGCGCCTCCAACCTGGCGTGGATGGCAGCGTGGGGCCCGAGTCCGAGGTTGGATCAAGGGCCCTTTTCAGACCCAGACAAAACGTCTGCTGCGGACGACCGCCGCCAACCCTGCGGGGAAACCCCTAGCGTACCGGGCCAGCCTCTTGGTAGCCATTCCTGACGCTCCGTTCCTCAGAGTCCAACGGCCGGAAGTCGGCTGCCCTCGCTTCCGGTGCGTTTAAACGCCGGCGCGCCTCCGAGCGTTTAGAGCGGCGGGGGCGGTCGTCAGCGGTCGTCAGCGGTCGTCAGCGGTCTGTGGGGTGTGTTTGGGGCCGTGCGGGACCTGGAGGGCGTGGACAGAGGCTTGAGAAGTGGCTTCTGCTTTTTTCCCC